TTTTAGGAAATTCAGAGTTTTAAGAGAAATTCAACACCCATCACATTGGTAAAATCTAAAGATTATGATTCCTATTTTTTTGGATCAAAGCTTGTCTTCCTCTATCTACCGTCCTAGTTTTATGCCAATCTCTCTCCTTTTTTAGCAATCGATATGTACCCATTAATAAATTTGAAAAACATTTGGACACGCAACTTTTCATCTTTTTGAAGCCACACACTTTTTCATTGGCAACTGTTTCATTGCCAATGGGTGGTTTTTATATAAGGGGTCTACAAATTTTGAAAACCGTTGGGACACCTTTTTTTAAAACAAAAATTCTAAACTTCATTTTCTTAATTACAATTTTAGCCAGGTAAAAGGAGCAAAGGATAAACAGAAAATGCATAACAAAACAAAGCATACACAAATCTAAAAATAGAAATAAAAAATGGACACAAAGAAGTAAATTTTGCACATTTATTTTCATGATGACCACAGGTTTTCCAGGCTTAATACTGTACAAATATAAACTTTAAAAATGGTAAGAAGTATGTTTTGCATATTTACGAATCTAACCGAGTAATAAAAAAAGAGCTATACAAAGAACTATGTTTTGCAAATTTATTTTCATGATGACCACAATTTTTCTAGGCAAATAAAACATCACACAATTCCCAGAAGGGGCCACAAAAAACCACAATAAATAAACCAAGGGATAATGTAGAAATAGAAAAAATAAATAGAAATGAATAAAGCAATCAGACAATTTTCTTTTTCCATTTGCATTTTCTAATTTTTTTACTAATGTAATAAATTTTCATTCTCGAAATAACATTTTCGAAAAGGCATCATTTGATTATTGAGTTGTTTTTAATAGAACTAGATTGATTAATTATCCTCATGTTAACTATTTTTTCAAATATTGTTAATTGATATCAATTTTTAAAATATAAAAGTATCATTATTTATCAATAAATTTATATATTTATCATTATACGAACATAAAAGAATAAGTAATACTTAATTGAAATATTATTAAATACTCAATAACAGAAATATCATAACAAATCAAAGAAAAACCCTCAATTTTTCACTATAATAATTCAAAGCAAAACCCTGAATTTTTGTTCTAAATCTAATACCCTATATAGGGATCTAAAATTGCTAAAATGTCTACATGAAAAAAGCAAAACTTGACTTCCTTGACGATTATTAGCTACATTTTACCTAATTATTCATGCCATCCAAAAGAAAAAACAAAAAAAAAGTAGTGGGCCCCTTTTTTAAATAGACGGTTAATGCCACAAATTATTCAAGCCCAGCAATATAGTTCTTCATTTTGAATCACATAAAAAATTAATTTATTAATTCAATGAATAAAAATACTATTAGTTTAAATGACAAATAACATAAATAAATGCAGTACCTATCGTTTTGGCGCTCTTCAAAATTTGTCAGTGTCAAGATTGCTATGATTAACTGATTTTGGTGAGTTTTAATTCTCAGGTATAGCTCCTTGTGTTTTTACAGATCCTTTCGTCATACTTCAGAGAGATAGAGAAAGAGAGTATACATAACATAAAATCAAGTATACAAATATTGTTGCATTGTATTTCACACATATATTTCTCTTCTAAATATTGCCATATTATATCTAACACATCCCTCTCTCTTTCCCCTTTTTCTCTCTCTATACTAAAATATGTGTTATCTCTCTCTTCTAATGATAACTCCTCCCTCTATGATGATTAAAACACGCATATCTCTCTCGAAATGATGACTTATGCATCTCTTCATGAACAATCAAGATATCTATATCTCCAAATTTATGGATGTAGAGAGATAGAAAAAGAGAGAGCTAGAGAGAGTATGATAGCTTGCTTGTTCATGAAGAGATGCATTAGTCATCATTTAGAGAAAGAGAAACATGTTTTAATCATCATAGAGGGAGGAGTTATCATTAGAAGAGAGAGATAATGCACATTTTAGTATAGAGGGGGAGAAGAGGGGGAAAGAGAGAGGCATGTGTTAAACATAATCCGACAATATTTAGAAGAGAGATATAAGAGTGTGAGATACAATGCGACAATATTTATATACTTGATTTTATGTTACGTATACTCTCTTTCTCTATCTCTCTAAAGTATGACGATAGGATTTGTAAAACACAAGGAGTTATACCCAAGCATTCAAACTCAGTTAACCATAGCGATCTTGACACAAGCAAATTTTGAAGAGCGCTAAAAGGATAGATACTGCATTTATTTATGTTTTTTATTCATTGAATTAATAAATTCAAAATGAAGAAGTATGTTGTTGGGCTTGAATAATTTGTGACATTGACCATTTATTTGGAAAAAGGGCTCACTGTTTCTTTTGTTTTTTCTTTTGGATGACATCAATAATTAGGTAAATGTGGCTAATAATCGACTGAGAAGTCAATTTTTATTTTTTGCATGTAGACATTTTAGCAATTTTAGATTCCCTGAATGCTAGGGTATTAGATTTACAATAAAAATTCAAGGTTTTACTTTGAATTATTATAGTGAAAAATTGAGGGTTTTGCTTTGATTTGTTATGATATTTATGTTATTTGTTATTGTGTACTTAATAATTTATTATTAATTTATTATTAATTTATTATTAATATTTCAATTAAATATTACTTATTTTATTATGATAGTATAGTGATAAATATATAAATTTATTGATAAATAATGAAACTTTTATATTTTAAAATTTTATATAAGATAAATAGTAGGGATAATCTAAAGTTCACAACCCTTCAAATTACAAATGTTGTGAAGGGTGGATTTATTAACTTTGTGGTATATTTTTTAAAGAAAGTTGCTCTTTGTGATATCTTCATTATTAAGGATAATTTTGTAAATTTCACTACAAGACAAGGGGTAATTTTGTCATCTCCATACTAGGTAAAGTTGAAATTTTTACTAAAGGACAAAGGCCCTGTACAAATAAAGTTCCAAGATACTAACTTCTAAAATGACATTGTACTTTGGTAAAAATTTAAATTTGTCCTTGCTTAATGGTTAAGTAACCTATTAAAATATTATTTTAAACAAAAAGTAATTATCTTTTTTATAAATACACCATCACTACACCTTTTAACATTAACCTTTGCATTTTGAGGGGTTGTTAACTCTAGACAAACCCTTAATAGTATTTGTAAAACTAGTTAACACGAATGTAATTAATCATTGTAATTCGATTAAAAACCATTCAATCATCGAATGATGCGTTTTCGAAGATGTTATTTCAAGAATGAAAATTTATGACATTAGTAAAAAATTTTCAAAATTAGTAAATGCAAATGGAAAAAAGAAAACTCCCTTGGTTTACTTAGTGTTGTTTTTTGTCGCCCCTTTTGGGAATTACGTGATGTTTTGATTTGTGTGATGCTTTATTTGTCTATTTTTAAAGTTTATACTTATGCAATATTAAGCCTAGAAAAACTGTGGTCATCATGAAAATAAATTTGCAAAAAATACTTCTTTGTGTAGCTCTTTTTTTATTCCTTGGTTATATCCGCAAATATGCAAAACATACTTCTTTCCATTTTTAAAGTTTATGTTTATACAGTATTAAGCCTGGAAAACCTATGGTTATCACGAAAATAAATATGCAAAATATACTTCTGTGTCCATTTTTTATTTCTATTTTTAGATCTATGTTTGCTTTGTTTAGTTATGCATTTCTGTTTATCGTTTGTTCCTTTTACCTAACTAAAATTGAAATTAAAAAATAAAATAAATTTTAGAAGGTTTTTCTTTTTTAAAAAAAAAGTTGTCGCAACAGTTTTCAAAATTTATGAACCTCTTATATAAAAACCATCCACTGGGTACATATCGATTCCTAAAAGAGGAGAGAGATTGACATAAAACTAGGACATGATAAGATAAAGGAAGACAAGTGTTGATCCAAAAATTTAATATTGTTGACATCTTAAAAAATCGTCCCAATTGTTGCCCTTCTAGGTAAGCATTATTGATCACCGTTAGATTGAGAAACACAAAAAGAAAAAAGGTCCCTGCTCCCCTACGGAGCTTTCCTAATACTGATTTTAGGAAGGGCAGCACGTTTAAGGACTAAAGAGTACATTTTGAGGCCTCAGGATAGTGTAGGTTCAGTTCAAGATAAGATTCGAATTGATATGGAATAGTATGTCAAGACTAAGGTCCAAAGAAAATTATTGGATTATTATGTAGAAATAATGAAAGCTCTCAATCGTAAATGAAGCATAATCATGAAGGACATATTTTCAGAGATTCTAAGTTCTAATGATTGGGTTAGTTTGAAATGTTTTGATGGTTGCTTCTGCCTGCCGGGGAATAGTAGGGGGCAAAGATATGGTGGTTGATCTTAAAGCACTTGCATTTGTCTGCGACTCCCTTGCTCTTGAAATTGGAATTTTCAAATCCACTAGGTGCAACAACATATATCCGAGAACAAATTATGGCAAGTACTCGAAGTTACATACAGATAAGTCCACAAAACCATGCAAACCAGGGACCAGGGAATTCCCAAGTGGGAGACCACCTTTCCATTCGATTGAGCAACAACATCAGGCAAATATTGCTTAATGAGCCATTAACAAAAAAACCAACCACTACACCGACTGTCACACAAACATCGACTGTCACACAAACATGAGGGGGCGGTATGTGAGGAGCCATAATACATGGCCATGTGGCTTGGCTTACCATAAAGCTCAACAAGAAATGCAAAGGTCGATCATTTTAACAGAGAAACAACATACCCAAACAGACGATATCACTTTCAGAGCAAAGAACAAACCAACAGAATAGAAACAAATAAAATAACAGTTAAACCTTGGCAGTTTTTTGGTCTATGAGAAACTTAAGCCCTAAATCTCAGCAATGTATGTGAATACTCAAATATGGAAATTTGGATCCTTTAACCTTGAAAACAAAAAAAAATAGATACACTAATGTAGATTTAACACATGAAGAAAGGAATACAAATTTGAAATCACTTACGATTATACGGCCTTCAATTCGCAAGTCCTTCTGCTCAAAAAGCCAAATCTGGATACGAGCTTTCTGAACACACAAAGAAATAGCATTGATTATAAATAAAACAAAATCATGCAGTCTTCATTGAAGCTGGCAAATCTTGATAAAATAGAATCACCACATGATAATCAAGAGGGTAAACAGAAGATAGCAAGAGCAGAGCTTACACTCTGAAGAAACCGGAAAATCAGATTCTGTAGAGAGAGAAACAAGGAAAAAAAAAAAGAACAGTTAGCGAGGTTCCAGTATTGGGCACACAAAATCGTGTCTATTTTGATAAAGTAATGGAGCAAAGAGAGAAAAAAGTGTGCTCTTACAATGGGCTGGGTCATAATACGCTGAACTCTTGTGGTCGCCATGGCTGCACAACCCTAAGACCCAAGAAACCCTAAAATTGGGAACAAGCCTAAAACCCTAAACCTTTGCGTTTGCAAGCTTGCGTTTTGAGAACGGGAACAAATCTAGGGCGCGTTACATTGGGGAGAGCATTCGTTCTTGGCGAACAGCTACACTAGTCTGCCCACCTTGTTGCCGGTATTGAAAAACCCCAATTATTGCTCTCCACGGACAGAAAAATTAAGAGGAGCTCGTTAAAATATATCAAGCATTTGATGCTCATGTGAAATACTCTTTATTAAAAAGCTTCATGTAAGAGTATAGAAATATCAAAAAAATTATTAAATACAATGTTAAATTACCTTATAGTGTAAGCATCATAACAAAACCTTAAAAATTTATCAAAACATATCTTTAGATGAAGTATTTAACATTTTACTTATTTTTATCTTAATTTAAAATTTTCATCATAATACACATATGATCATGAGTTTTGAAACTTGAAATTAATAAATAGTCGATGAATTATATGTATTTTGCTAAATTAATGAAGTCAAAATACATCTAGATGTATTTTGATAAAATTTTATACAACTAATGTATTTTGATAAATTTTTATACAACTAAAACTGTCAAATAAAAAGTTAAGAAAAAGTGTTTTAGGCTCTATAAGATCAAGCAATATAAGAATTCAGAGTCTTAACACTTTAAAAAAAAACTATTCAAGTAGAGATGAGGCAAAACAACGACCTATCGTATTGATCAATGCGGATCGATTTTCTAAAAATAAATGCTCTCTACAATAATTATTTTTCATTTTTTAAAATAAAATTATTCTTCATGATCAAGAGGATGTAATTACCAAATTTGCGATGAAACAAAATCTCTCCGAATAAAAAGAGCACCTACCCACTCTGATTTTAGGTTCTCGTGACCCAAAATCTGGCATAGACATTCTCCTTGTCCCATGAAATGATTAATTTGTGGGTTTAAAAACTAATCTCTAGTATCAAATTTTAATTTAGAATTTTTTTGGGTCTAAACTCTAAAGAGACTATACGTGCCCAATTTAAGAATATGTATATTACAAATTTACGGGGAAGGTCTAAACTCTAAACGTTAAAATGGGAAAGGGCCACAAATATTATTCGTATGCAATTCTTTTCACTAATCACTATGGACTTTTGTGGAATATAAATAATGACCAAGGGCTGGCATTTCACGTTTCGTCACAAGCGCGGGCACGAAAACAAATCGTGCTCCGGTGTGGGAGAGAAGACGCGGCCTTGCTGCTCGAAAGAAATTAGGGTTAGGTTTTGTTTTCTGCCATGGCGGGCGCTGGTATGCACCCTTACCATCAGCCTTGGACGCCATCTCCTGCTCCTGTTATGGCACCAGAAGCTCATCACATGAGTGTTAACACCCAAGATGAGGTAATCTCTTTGATTTTTTACTTGCCTTGATTTTTTTCCCTAGTTCCAACATTTTAGGTTCCCATAATTGCCACAATTCCTTGAGAAACTAGTTCAGGGGTTCAATGCTTGCTGTAGTTTCATTACGAAGGGTTTCGACTTATTGTTTCTAATTCCATCGGATTTTACTGAGAATGAATATTTGTGTTATTTGTACTGGATCAACTTGAAAATGAATGTCTTCTCTAATTTCATATGAAGTGTTTCCGGAACTGTGCATTTTCTCCATTTATCATTAAATATGAGTATTAGCCGTAACTCTGGTGTCGAGACTCTTGTTGTGTGATAGTTTCCCCAATGTTATGTTTCTGTAAGTTCATTATATACTGTTTCTGCAGCTGAAATTCATTAGGATTCTATTGATATCAATTGGAGCAACTTGGAAATGGATGTTTGCCCTAATTTTTCCTGAAATGTTCCTGGACCGTTAGTAATCATTACAACTATATATATCTTAGTTCTGGTATGTAGATTTAAGGTATCTTATAATTTCTTAATTATCAGTATAAAAGGCTTCACCAATCAAATGCTGATGTAGCTTTATTAGAAATTGTTTATGCGGTTGAGGTTTTGTTGAAGTTCATTCTCTCAGTGGATGTTTGCAGTCGCACTATTTCTACTGTGGTAACTTGGAAACAAATGTTTGCCCTAATTTTATAGCAGTGCTTTTGGGTGTGAGCATTGTCATTTGTAATTAGTATAAATGACCTTTTAGCCTAATTTTATGGCGATATGCTTTTACTACTGATTATTAGGTCAGAACAATCTTCATCTCTGGCCTTCCCGATGATGTAAAGGAGAGGGAGCTCCAGAATTTGTGTAGGTGGTTGCCTGGTTATGAGGCCTCACAAGTTAATTACAAAGGAGAACAACCCATGGGGTTTGTCTTATTCTCTACTGCCCCAATGGCAATGGCTGCCAGAGATGCTCTTCAGGTTAGTCCATGCGGAAAGAAGTTGGTATCTCTGTCCTTATATTTTCACTGAAATTGGATTTCATAACTTGTGTTTTTCCTTTTTATTATGACCAATATTATATCGGAGTTTCCCATCATGCTAGCATTTGTTCCTGTTAATTTAGGAACTGGTTTTTGATGCTGAGGCAAAGTCTGTGCTAAGAACTGAAATGGCAAAGAAAAACTTGTTTATCAAAAGAGGTCAGTTTATTTTCTCCATTTTTCTTTCCCATTTTCTGTGCAGCATCTTGTATTATGGCTATTGTGTCTTGGTTTATGGTTATGGTAGGCATTGCTGTTTTTGAATATTGGGGTTAGAGATTGGAGTTCAAGCTTCCATTGTCCCTTTTTTCTTTCCCATTTTCTGTGCAGCATCTTGTATTATGGCTATTGTGTCTTGGTTTTTGGTTATCGTAGGCATTGCCGTTTTTGAATATTGGGGTTAGAGATTGGAGTTCAAGTTTCCATTGTCCAGATAGTATATATCATCATTTTCGGTAATTATCTAGGAATGTTTTGCTACAATCTTGCCATGCTGATAATTATGCATAGCAATTTTCAGGATTATCTTTACTTCGTCTGAATAAATATTCAATAATTTTATGAGAGATGGGTGTTACCTTAAGCCTAGGAGTTTTCCTCAATTTTTTAGATTAGCTCTTTGGCTTTCCGAACACCGTCGATCCGAACTAGAATGTGAAGGGTATAGCCATTCTTGTTTCAATCTTGAAATGCTTCCTTATAAGAACATTGTGTTTGAGGTCAACTAGATTTTTGGACTTTTTTCAATGAAATGAGGGTGCATTTCAATACTAAATCAAGGAGGGGGTGCTTTCTCTGGATGTGTGAGGGTCCTTTCTTGATGATAAAACTCAGAACGTGTTAAGTGTGAAGGTGGCTGATTGCTTGTATGGGTTGAGGATGTGAGCCTGTTAGTGTCATTGTAATTTCTTCCGAGGTTTGATTGAGGTATGTTCTATGCATGTTAGAAGTGGCTCCATGAATGTGGTGAAAGGCAATGGCATAGTTGTATGCTATGTTCCAAAGACGAGCATGTGTGCCTTTGTGTCCAACATGGACACCTGTGATAGAATGTTCACCAAGGGGGAGAAGGATTTCATCATCATCATTTTAGCTTTTTTCCAATTAAATGGGATTGGCTACATGAATCCTGGTTCTCCATTCTGCTCTATTAAAGTCCCTTAGTGAGGTCATAAGTTCCCATATCTTTTTGGACTACTTTCAACTACATCCTTTTGGGCTTATCTGTTGCCCTTTTTAGTCCTTCCACTTGAACTAATTCGCACATCCTAACAAGTGCTGTAATTGGTCAGCGCCACACATGGCCATCCCACCTAAGTCTACTCTCTTTCATTTTGTTGCCTATTGGTGCCATGCTTAAATTCTCTCGAATAGATTCATTTCGAATTCTATCCCTTCTTGTCTTACCACTCATCCATCTCAACATCTTCATCTCCACTACACTCATTCTATGGGTGTATTGTTTTTTTTTCGCCCAACATTCTGCCCCATAGAGCAAAGCTGGACTCACCGTTGTCTTATAGAACTTGCCCTTTAGCTTCATTGGTATGCAACGATCGCATAAAATTCCAATTGCACATCTCCACTTTGCCTACCCAACTCTAATTCTGTGTATGACATCTTCCTCAATCTCTCCATTTTCTTGGATTATCGACCCAAGATATCGAAAGTGCGGTTATTTTTGTACTTCCCGGCTGTCAATCTTGATTACTTCGTCGTCTCTACTCCTATTATTACTAGACTTGCACTCCATATATTCTGTCTTAGTCTGACTAATTTTAGAACCTTTGGATTCTAGAGAATCTTTTCAAAGTTCTTACTTTATGTTGACACCATTTCGAGTCTCATCAATCAAAATTATGTCTTCTGCGAACAACATACACCATGGTACCTCAGCTTGTAGGTCCCTTCAAATGACCACTGCAAGTTTGGTAAAACATGATTTATACTACTATGTACGAGCTAGTTAGGATATTTCGATTATCCCAAAATAAGTGGGGGAATGGTGATGGCTGTTCTACACATTGACTGGGTTAAATTGGTGCAAAAAGCCTACTTTCTCCGCATTTCCACTGGTAATTGGCGTCACTATCATGGGGTGCGTTTTGCTTGATAAATGTGTGGCTTCAGTGTTGAGATGCTAACTATGTGATGTACGAAGTTGAATAAAAGGGAAAACACTTCCAATTTATCATACATGCCCTCTTATCCGATCCTTGTGGAACTTCATGGAAGGCATCCTTGCTACTGCCATACCTTAATTCTCTCTGACTAGTGATTCCATGAGTGTCCTGAACCAAAATGATTGTATTACTTTAGTTTGTGCCCTATGAGTAGCTGCCTTCTTGGTAGATCCAGGAGAAATTTGTGGATATTACATGTGATCAATTCATGAACCTGTGGTTAGTGCCAAAAATACCCCCACACTTCATTTTATTCACTGTACTGGTGTGCGAGTTTGATTATTTGATAATTTGATGCCTCATCATACTCATTGGTACCATCCAAATTTGAGATGTGGAGGGAAAGAATTTAGGCAAAGGATTCAATGGGTAGGGGTTGTCTCCCTATGTTAGTAACGTAATCATACATCCTACCTAATCATTTCCCCTTTTAAAAAAAGAAATAATACTATTTTGGAAGAATTTGACAAAAACATTATCACAATTCAAAAAAGGTTTATGTCCATTTAATTATTTCTTGATACTCTGGCATAGAGCATCTTACATTGTTTGCGTTGAATTTCTCTTTCCTTCGAAAGTTGCACCAAATTTTCTTTAGAGCAATGTAATACCCTTTCTATGCAGTATTACTATCTTTTCCTCAATTGGAGATAATCCTTTTCATGTACAGGGCTAGCTAGGTTTGTTTCTTGCGAACTGGTGTACTCTTTGACATCTAAATTTGGCTTTCACTGCATGAATTATTTTTCCTTTTAAAGGATTACCATGATGGAGATAAAGATAGCATTATCTTGTAACTTATTTACCAACTGAGCTTGCGTATCTAAGCGTAAGATGTTTCTTGAACTCTGAACTCCTAATGATTTTTTTAATGACAGGTTAACTTTCTCAAAAACAATGATTTTTTAATGACGGAAATTAACAAACTCCGATTGATTTTCTTTTGAGAAATTTGCTATTGTAGCGAGATGGCAATATATGTAATCCCATTTTGGAAAATTACTATCCTGGAATGATCCATCATTCTGCCTGACCCTTAGTTTGTTTCTTAAATTATTGGAAAAATGACATATCAAGGAAGTATTCTTTGGTGCATGAGATGATGGCCTGACACTACATGGAATTGCTTAATCTTCTAATATTATTTTTATCGTGCAGCATTTGGTGCTTAGAATGACTTATCCGTAACCATAACGTATACTTTGAGATTTGGAAGTTTCTATGTTCATAGTTGTGTGTTTCTAGAGGTTCCCGATTCCAAAGCTGATGTTGCATTGGATTTTCTTGTACTTGCATTTCATCCTGTATGGCTTCCAATATGTGTATTACCCGTCATTAATTCGTATTGAATTGATAGGTAATGAATCACTTCCCTTTTATAATCTTGTTGTGCAATTTAGGTTGTCTGTCTTCCCAAGGTCACTGCTTCTCTGTGATTTGACCAAGAGGTTTAGGTGGATCTTTCTAACTTTTCTTTAATGTGTAGGTGTTGTTGGTGATTCCAATTCTTTTGATCAAAGCAAGCGCATGAGGACTGGTGGAGATTATAATCCTGCAGCTTATCCACATCCTCCCTCTTACCCCCCTGCTACTCCCCCTGCCTGGGGACCCCAGGGGTGAGCGTTCATTACGTTGATTATTTTGAACCCTATGATAATGTAACTAAAATTATGATCTTGTATTAACTGACACTTTTTTAGTCACAAAATATGGCTTATGTTTTGTGCATGAAGAAAAATGTCTTAATTTTCTCTTGGTAAATTTTTTTATATGCTCTCTTTTTTCAGCTATATGCCTCCATCTGCTCCATATGATCCTTATGTTCCTCCTTATGTCTCTGCATCTTCTGCTCCTGCACCTACACCCACACCGGCTGCTTATGCTCCAGTTCAGGTGAGTAGTTGTTTTATTCCATGCCGAAATGTGATTGTTACCTTTCTAAACTTCTTTAAAGTCAGTAATTGTCTTGATTCCATAATAATGACAGCCACATACAATAAGAAATATTATCGCAACAAACAATTTTTCTTTTTTGAAAGTAACATGCCTTTTTTAGTGCATATTTTGTCTCGAAGCATATTATTTTTATTTGCGAATCTTTGTCACTACACATGTTTGCCAGAAACTTCAGCGGAGCTTTTCTTAATTTCTGTTGGTAAGAGTTCAGCAAAATTGCATCATTTTCTCGCTTCCATATTTGTGGATGATTGATTCATATGATGGTTTAAATTTCTACTTTGGATTTTATGTGTTTCTACCAATAAAACCTTTTGCATACATTTTTTTTTTTTTCTGGAGAGAGAGCTGGTAGATGGATATGTGTGTTATCTTTTCAAGTTGGTACTGTATTTTGGATTCTGCGTGAATAAATACATAAATCCAATGTTTGCAAAATCGTTGTTCCGGATCGGAATCGGCCGATGGATTGGGAATCATTGGGAGTGAATTGGTTACTACAGTATATTGGGAATTGGCAGTTTCCATTGGGGAATCGTTGATTCCCTATAGATAATTGTCGATTTGTTACAGTAGAATCGGCAATTCCCTCAAGTGGATCGGAATGAAGTGGCGGCCTTGTTTAAAAAAAATTGAAATTGTCATTGAAGAGATAGGTGAAAGTGGGGTCCACCCTATCGAGCTTCTTGAGCTTTGTACTCAATTTTTTTTCCCTTATTGTAGAGGGGTGGCCTCTCCAAGTAGGAACCCGTGTTCCTACCTTAGGATGGGAACTCACCCATCTTTCAAAAGCCACATGTGTTCCTAACATCAAAAAAAATAAAAAAACGGGTGGCCAATGTATCCTCCTTGTGGCTTTTTTATAGGTGCTTCCTCTCATAGTCTCTCTCGGTTTCCGTGATGCGGGACTTTGTTGTTAGGTCACTATGCAAGTTATTTCATGACCATATAAGCTAGCCTAATATTACCAGATATTTCATTAGTAAGGTCAATCTCGAACACTAGTTCATGCAGTTCAAGCTAAAGTGATAAATAAATGCTCATGCTTAAGTTATTACACATTAAATCAATTTTTTGGCAAATACTTTTGCCATAACTTTTTTCTCTCAATTAAATCAAAAGGTCCAAGACTATTGTATGCTTCTTTTTTTTTTCACTATAAAAATTTGAGTTAGAGCGATCCATTTTACTTTAAGTAGTATTTTTAATTTTTAATTTGAGTATAAATAACAAACGCTCAGACATGAGAGAGGTTCTTAGTATTTGTGTATTTTCAATGAAATAATGAAAGCTATAGCGCGCAATACAACTTTTTTCTTTTTTTTTTGAAACCTAAAAAAGTGCTAGATCTAGCCGATTATCTCTTCTAAACCATAGGTCTTCCGATCCGACCCGATTTTTTGGATGGACGATCTAGGTCACCAATCTGTTTTTTAAAACTCTGCATAAATTGTTCTAGTAATGGGGTGGATATCATGTCCATTCTCACTAGGGAGCATCCTCCAAGAACTTATGCATATCTTCGTAAACTAAACTTAGCATTTTCTTTTAGGGGCATTTCTTCAATGGAGTAATAGAAATGATCAAAACTTAGAAAATATAAAAAATGCTAAGAAAAATGCTAAACAAATAGTAAGGCTAAACTTAAGGCATATGATAATCTATATAGTAAACTGGGAACAAGACAAGGTGAAAAAGATGTCTTCAAATTAGCAAAAATGAGAGAAAAAGTGTAGGGATGTAGGACCATATTACGTGCATTAGGAGTGAGGATCAAGGAATCTTGGTAAAGGATGAAGAGGTCAACAGAAGGTAGATAGTTTATTTTCAAAAATTATGAAATGACAAATACAATGGGAACATAGCGATGCAAGGAACCATTGGTATATAAATACCGGCAGGGTCATAGAGACATTCATAGGATTAGGATATCAGAAGTGAAAGAAGTTTTGAAAAGGATGAAGGTAGGAAGGGCTTTAGGACTAGATTGTATCCCAATAGAGGTGGAAGTACATAGGGGAGATTGGCATTGATTACTTGACTAAGTTGTTGAACAAGTTGTTGAGAACAAAGAAATTGCCAGACGAATAGAGGAAAAGTATTGTGGTACCCGTTTACAAGAACAAAGGAGACATACAGAATTGTGTGAACTATCGAGGGATCTAACTTATGAGCTATATTATGAAGCTCTAGGAGAGAGTGATTGAACAATGAGTAAGGCATAAAATGAGTGTATTAGAAAACCAATTCGATTTTATGCCAGGGAGGTCAATAACCGAGGTTATTTTCCTACTTAGGCAACTGATTGTGAGTTTAGGATGAAGGGAAAAGGCCTGCATATAGTTTTTATTGATCTAGAGAAAGCTTGTGATAGAGTACTTCAAGATTTGATTTGGTGGGTGTTGGAAAAGATTTACGGATCTTATGTTATTTTATACCATAAATTTTTGGCATGGATTTCTTTTAGTTGATGTGATAGGCATTCATTCTTTTTCGTAAGAGCTTATATTCTACAATATATACTGCATGGATTGAATACATTAACCAAATAGTGTTCTGGTAATCGGGTGGAGTGGTGGACATCATGTCAAGTCTCCCTAGAAAACTTCCCCGAGTTTCTAAGTGTTCCAAAGCCATCCCTAGAGTGGGATATCATTGCTCATGGCAAATGTTCAACTAGCAGAAACATCTAATCTTGGACAAAACATATGGATCACCTTGAAATAAACTTACATTCTTATTTAGATTGTCCAGTTTTTCTCTATTTATCTATATACTATTTAACTTTTTTTTACAGTTTAATAACAATTTTCCAATGGATTAACGGCAGCATGCAGTTCACGCCAAGACTTAGAAACTCAGCTCAAGCTTGGGACTCAGGCGAGTCCAGAGTAGTGTATGGGGCCAAAACAGCCCCAAAGTTAAGAAAATGAAAAAGTGTTAAAAATAAAATAAAAGTTGTAAAATCAAACTGAACCTACAACAACATAAACAGTCCAGATAAGCTGGAAAAATGATATAAAACTTGGATTTAGAAAAAATTGTTTCACCCCGAGTTTTATCCAAGTACTCGGTTTGTTTGAGTTAACTTAGCCGAGTCCTTGAACACTGTTTATCCCTTGCTAAAGGGCTGATGCTGCTGTTGACATTGTGTATCCCACTTGTAATCTTAGGTGTCGTGACAATTCCAAAACTGTGGACCCCAAAGTGCTTGGAACTACCAAGCTCTTCATGGAGGTGAACTGATTCATGGATGTCACTTTTCCAGATCTTATCTACTGTTATTTCATGGCTATGCTTTTGTTGAGAGTTGTTCAGATATATAAATTTTTATTTGGGTGGGAAAGAGATTTTTTTTTTGTTAGGTGTCTCAGTCTATATTTCCAGTGGTTTCCTGTTCTGTACCCCAGAGTGGCCTCTGATCAAGTTTTAGGTCTTACACTTCTGTTACGAGGGTTGAGATGGCTTGTAGGATATTAGGCATAAGGGTCAGTATGAGCTGTGCTGCAGTAACAAATGTTTTGTGTCATGTCATCCATTCTCATTTCTGGGTTTCAGTTCAATTTTGATGCTTGCTCTTGGTCTGCTGTATTGGATTATTCCGCTGTAGATGGAGTCTGCATGTTTTATTGTTTACAGAACTATGTTTACCGTCTTTCTATATTTGTTGGTTGATCATGCTGGTGGCTTCATAGATATTTGGATTTAAGCTTTTTTTATATACGAAAGTTATGTATGCATACATGAACATTGAAGGCTTATGCTCTGTAGTTGATACACATCAATAAGGTGACTAAATGAAAAGTATTATTTCTTTTAACATTGCAGAACATGAAAGATAATCCTCCTTGCAATACTCTTTTCATTGGTAATCTCGGTGAAAACATTGTTGAGGAAGAACTGAGGGGACTCTTTGCTGGGTAACTTAGTCTGTTATCCGTGTCAAGCCATTGGTGCTAAATTTATCTCCGTTTTTTAGTGCATTTTCTTAGATCTTTTCTTGGGCACTTGTGTCATTGATTATGCAGACAACCTGGATATAAGCAAATGAAGGTCTTGCGGCAGGAAAGGAATACCGTTTGTTTTATTGAATTCTATGTAAGTTTACATTACTGATTTCTTATGAGCTCAATGTTTCTACTGAATCTGGTGTCAGTATCTTATATATTTTTATTATCTCATTATTTTGATGAAATTGACATGTAATCTTTATGAAACTCTTTTTCCCATTGGAGATTTGGAGTAGATGTGTTCATGGTCCTCAGTTTTGATCTTTCTCCATCTGCTATGGTCTCAAATGTTGTCTTTGACAACTGACAACAATGCACTCACACATGCAGGATGTGAACAGTGCCATGGCTGTGCACCGCTCTTTGCAAGGCGCTGTTCTTCCCAGCTCTGGACGTGGAGGCATGCGCATACAATATCCTCTTATTTGTTTTATCAATTTGTGTTCGCATGATTAGGCCATCTGAGTGTATCAAAAATGTCTATCAAAAATGTCTAGGGGAGAGTATGCTTTAATCTGATGGATTAAGGTAAACCATAGTCCATGTGATCATCTTTTCCATTGAAAATAGATGGTGGAGAGTGGGGGAGCCACCAGGATGAGATGTGAACCAGGTAGTGGTTCCCACGTTCCATCACTGTCCATTTCATTGGATGATGACAACTCCAATGGAATATGGTTCTTCATTGTTCCTTTCAATATTACATAGTTTTCTTGTTATACAAGGGCATCTTTCATCTAATGACAGTTAAAGGAGACTTGTTATTTCTTGACCTCTTGAACATTTTCAAAGAATCCATTTGGGAAGAGGAAAGATGGAGCAAACGGCACCCCAGATGCAAATGGAACTCCTGCTTATCAATAGTGAGTGCGCAATGAGAAAGCCCAAAGGGATGTATTTTGCTCTTTATACCTTCATGAAGAACCAAGAGTAGGAATGAATGGACATCATGCTGTTGCATCACCCCCATCATTAGCATGTATGTTGTCTGATGTGCATGGTGATCATGAGTGCCATTGGCATATTTCTAGACTGAGAAAATCATCTACGGCACTTCCATTTCGGCACATGCATCGGCATCGGCATATGTAGAGAGACATGGAAAATAGGGTTGGCCACTTGTCTATTAATTCAGGGAAAGAAGCATCTGGCATATGTAGGCAACATGGATCATAGGGAGCTGTTTTTATGTTTCACTTTTGTTTTATGTTAGGGAGTTTGAGATAGAAAGGTGCACGAGCATCTTCCAATTCATGCTGATACATCAAAGTTGGTGTGTTTCTGTGGTGCATTGACATGTTTCTTTTCTACGATATAGTTTTTGTGGAAAGTTTTGGTTTTCATCTCATATCAAGCCTGAATCCCTAGATGTTAAACTGGATAAAATCTTGCACCTAACCGAGAAAAACCCCAGAAAAGCATTCATGTGATTTTGCACTATAGAATATGATGCTTCCACTGATTGCTTGTGACCTGCTAATTCAACCAGCGATTGAGCCGAACACTTGAAACTTGCGGGCTTTGTGAAACAGACTGTTTTCTCAGATGAAGCCCTGGGCAGCGACTGGAGCACCCTCTAAGAGAATCCAGAGCTTAGTTTTCTGCTTCGTGCCCACTTCAAGGTAAACTTCGATCAGGTAGGTATATAACCCCAAGATGATTCGGGAGTGCATTCTCTTCACATGAAGTAGTATATCCTCTTTTATAAACAATCGAAAAATGTAGATTTCTCCCTTTCCCGCGTGTTCGCCTGTGCCATTGGTTTCTTTTCCCTTCCAAGTTTTTCCTCCGGTGATTTTTTGTACATTTTCCTAGCATCTCACTAATAGTTGATAAATTTGTGTAATTTATACAAACTTATTTTGGGAACTAGTTAGGGCTCAGTTCAAGCTGTGTTAGAGTTATCCAGTTGGCTGGTTTCCACCAAATGACGAATCAGTGGGTTGGAATTTATTTCATGGATTTCTCATATGGTCTTTTATTGAAATGAAATTGTATTGACGTTTTCCATGGGACATTAAAATATATCTTGTCGAGAATATCCAAACTGATATCTTTGAAACTCTTCAAACATAATCTCTTTAATCGATTTCTCATATGGTCTTCTCTTGAATTTTATTGATGTTCTCCATGGAATACCAAAATATAACTTCTTGGGAATATATGAAGGTCTTTTGTGCCTCATGTATGAATTTTCTATATCACCACTAGTGTTTAAAAATTTGGTGGTTTGACTTGGAACCGCCTGAGTCAAACCGGAATCGGAATTGGCAAGTAGCCAGTCTGATTTTCTCCCCAAGTTGGGACTTGACCTAATACACCTAAAAATCATATGAATTCTTTTTAGTACAAACCAGTGTTTTGGAGTGAATACAAGTTCCTAAATGTTGTTCAAACATTTTGAAACTTTTCAAAATCTTGTTTGCATTTTTTTTTGCTTCTTGTTTTAACTTAGCCTGGTAAGTCTAGCCAGGTTGCTGAGTTGGCCGGTTCGACTCGTAACCGGATGGTGACAATTGCAACCAACCGGTCCAATTTTTAAAGCGTCGATCACCATCATTATTTTTCAAAAAGCTGTGAAGCATTACCCTGGACGACTAGGTTTTCTCTTAATGTACAAAAAAAGAAGTGATGATACTGATGATACGAGGGGTTTGATGCTTTCCCCTCGGAAACCAAGATTTTTCTTACTGTATATGAAACTGAAAGGGCTGCGTTTTGGCCCTCTCCCAATAATGAATTGTATTAGTTGTTAGTTAAATTTATGAATTATTTTTGGGTTGGTATGTAATGGATTTGAACCCAAGATCATAGTGCCGCTGTACTCATGCCCTTCAACGCTGTTAAAATCTCAGCTGGGCAAGTTGATATTCGGACCTTGAACTTGAAGTATTGTGTTGTCTTTAGGTATTGATATTTTTGAAGTACTATGGCGAAACCGTATACTCGTGTACAAAGGAGGTTGCACCCACTTTTAGATGTAAAACCTAGAGTGTGATATTGCTTGAAGTTCAAAAAAAAAGTTCTCAAACTGTGTGTTAGATATCAAGCAGATCCATTTCACATTTCATGTGGTGACCTAATTGTAGAAAATGAATGGAATTAAAGCTAATATCAATTAAGTTGTCAAATTACGTTAAAAATTCAATAGCGGTGTTGAATTATCTTTAGTATTGAATAGGAGTTGTATTTTGAGTTTCATTTCATTCAAGTGCAACTTAAAAAATGGTAGTAAGAACTAAGAAATCAATTTGTCCCTCAAGATTGAGACGCTAGACAAGCAAGGACTTTTCTTTAATTTAACCCTCCTTGATTAATCCCCATAAATCATTAAAGTATTCCTGGTTGTTTAGAATGGGTAGCATGGACAAAGGTTTGCAGTGAGAAACGGTGGCGTTGCTAACATCGAACTCGGGTTTTTTTTTTGTTAGCAGGTCCATATTGCAAATCCTGAACAACTCGTAGTATTTTTGTCATCCGGCTTAGGACATTTAAGGAGATTATTGAAATGCCTTTATAGCTCCTCTATGAGGACAATTTATTCAGTTTTAAGTACTTTTTTAAAGAGATGTAATGGAACTTTAAAAGTAACGCTCTAGGATGATTTGAAACATTTGAGAACTCGGTAGATTAATTTAGGAAAAGTGTACAATGAGGGTACAAGGTGGACACAATTAATCTTGATCATTGGATGTGAAATTGGTTGGTTGCATTTATTCTATTGATCGAGCTCAAAGTTCAATATAATAAATATAAATTTGTGACACATCTAAGCTATTAGATTTTACATCAGATGATTATGAATAATTGGGATCACTTTGTTCAAAGGTTAAACGGTTTTATTGTATACAATCCCGATAATTTATCCCTTGATATTTTTCCCTATAATTCATGTTTATCATATTATCCTTTCTTTCCTTTATGCTTCCTAAAATTTGGCTGAATTCCAGTCTTACTGTTGGACCAATACCTCTGGGCAAACTCCTCGTTAATAATGACATGTTGGTTTTCGTCCATTATTGATATTTGTTGTATGATTTTGTTACTAGGCCGACGTAATGAATATTTTCGGTGTCTTATGGGAAGATATCATACTGTCTAGTGTGATTTATTTGTAATATGGAGGAATTGAGAATTCAAAACAAAATAAAAGCGGCCAATGGCATTCAATTAAGGAAACAGTTTCTATGAGTCTATGTAGAAATGAGTTGACTTTTAAAAATCTATTTTTGGGATTGATTTTTTAATCCAATTTTTTTAAGACATGTAGTCCCTAACATGGAGATCGTGAATATAAAAAAATAAATAAATTTTTAAAAATAAAAATAATGATCTTATGAAGAAAATAATTGGACCATTAGCTTTAATTGTTTTTAGATGGACCATCTATTTGCATCCATCTTTAAGATGGATGCTTTATATGTTTGGATCGCATATTGTAAAAGTACGGTCCAACCGGCATGAAACAATTTTCCTTAAATGAGTTAGGACAAGTAAGTCAAAATTGAAATCGTGTAACACGTCGTTCCAGAATCTATGTTAAGCCGCTCAATGAAGCAAAGCTCAACAGAGGCTTTTGTTTTTTAAACAATATTTCTATAAATTTTGAAAGCATCATGCCTCACGTTATGAATTTTTTGGTTTAGTTTGAATGACCTCTTATTAGTCTTTGCCGATCCAAATCAGGAATTGGAGCAAGCCTGTTCCTGATGTAACTAGGCGTCTCTATTAAATATGTGATATAACATGTGCAATAGGAACTGCGCTTTAAAGCTTTTGTGGTTATCAACAGTGGTCTTATAGAGGTTAGCATTAATAAACAAAAATCTCTTAGAGCCCTTCTTGCTAGAATTCCCCGTAATGGCGCTTTTGCTCTATGGCTGGAAATGGACTGGTTCACCGTGCTCAACCTCGTTAGCTTGGCCCAAAAAAAAACTAGTGCCTAGGCTACAAAATGTGGTCCTCAAACAAAAAGTGGTCTAATGCAACCTGAGGACCGAGAGCAACATGGTCTGACCAAGCAAGGCCTGGACTAGGTCAGCTATATGGACAGCCAGCCCCTTTTTTTTTTTTTTTTTATAATTTACTTTTATTATTTTTGGCTTGGCTTGGCCTTGCTTGGGTCAGGCTGAGCTTGGGTTGGCCTTGTCGAAAGGGCGGGACCGGTTGGTGGCCATGTCTCTTGGGTTGACCTTGTAGATACTAGGGTCAGAGCTTTACTTTGTTCATTTGCATCCAAACATTCATGTATGGACCAATTTTTGCCATAAATTAGACCCTTGTTCGATGTATTTATCATCATTGTTAATTCATTGTTTCAATAAAGTTAATCCGAATAAGGCATTATATGTTGTTTGGCTAGTTTTATGAGATAAACTTCATTTCAACTAATTGGATCCAGCTAAGTGAATATTGGTCTAATATTTTGCTTTATTAAGGGTCATACCCTCAGTTAGGCTACAAGATTGCATATCTTCTTTCACTACTTCCAACCATGTCCTTTTGGGTTTATCCCTTGTATTTTTTAAGCCTTCTACTTGAACCAACTTGCAGCTCCTAATAGGTGTTGTATTGGGTCTGCGCTGCACATGGCAAGCCCACCTTAAGTCTATTATTTTGCATCTTATCGCCAATTGGTACCACACCTAAAATTTATCATTCTGAACTTTTTTTAGATAAACTTACCGGTAGAGTTTTACATACAAGTTTATCTTTGTAAGAAGTTGTTTTTACTTTATTCAAAGTAATTTACATACTTTGTTCAAAGCCTTTTGGAATCACTTCTAATAATTATGAGGAATTCTTTGCTCTTGAAGAAGGTTGGACTCTCGTTCTTTTGTTAAAGTGTTTCTCTCTTCAGATTGAAAGCGATTCAGCCTTGCTCGTTAGTGCTATTCATGAACGTTGTCGACCTCCTTGGAAGTTATATACAGTTGCAGCAAATTGTAGATGTCTTTCAATCATGGGTGGTAAATGACTCATATTTTTTGTGAGGCCAACATGGCGGCCGATATTCTTGTAAAGAGGATCACATCTCGTTTACAAGCTACCGTTGGCATTCTTGTCCTCCGGACTTTATATCCCTTGCTTTACTTCATGATTTGTCATAGGTGCTATGTTCCAGGATTGTAACGAAATGAGTTGTAACCTTCTTTATTTTAAAATATTAATAAAATGTTGATAGGGGGCTTTCTCTCCCACTAACTTACCAAAAAAAAGAGTAATTTGTAGAATATCACATATTATTGGCTAAAAATAGTTGGAAGTGAAAATTCAATATTTAAATAATATTTTGCATAACACATATACGTACCAAAGATATATCAAAATAACTTTATCTAGAGTGTATCAATTTCAAATAAGATAAGTACACTTTAGATAAAATTAATTGTCATCCAAATTGGCCCTAGGGGTGCTGCCGAAATATTCATGTTTGGGCCATTTTTGCCCTAAGTAAGGCTACCACTAGTTTTTTTTGGCTAGGCATGGTGGGGTACTCCATGTGATACCCAATAAAATGACATGATATAGTATGCTCCATGGTGAACCTAGTGCCTACAGCATTGGAATATAATATTACTGACCAAAAAGTGTTTCATGATAGTACTTGGGTTTCATATAGCCTGCTGGTTTCATCCCCACTTTCATATGTAAAAAATGGATGGTTGAGACGTGTTGTTCCTCTACTCAATGATAGACAGTTCGACCATCAATTGTTAACATTTAGTGGTTGGGGAGGTGCTAGTGGACATAGGACTAGCCTTGTCTACTCTGATCTTGGCACTTTGGATATGTACTCAACTGGTTCATGGCAATCAAATTAATGGATGGCGAGATGGCAGAGATTGGAATCCATGAAACACAATATGAATTCATTTTTATGTTCCATTCTGTGTGTTGTCCAATCCATTGAATGAATGTAGATGGCCTTTCTGATTGCATGGGAAATTTATCTTGGATACCCATGAGAGATTAACTTTTAAACATTCTAACCATATCTGTTGATTTAGTTTCAAAGTACCCATAAAACAGACATATGATCATGAGTTGAAATGGTTGTAAATATGTAAAATGTTGGATAGTTCATTTGTTATGGGTATTATTCTCACTACTTTTTATTCAAGACCAACTTTTATAACTAAAACCCACAAAACTAAAAAAGTTGTAAAATTTGTGACCAAAGTACCCTTATCCGTACCTTCACCGTACGAACACCGCTTTGAAAAAATACATTCGCCGGACCACGGTACTCATTTGCCAGAATAACCACATAATCCGGTATGATTTAACGAAATACCGGACAATATACTTAGAGTGAGATACGCTAGACCGCAGTTAACTAACGTCGGACCGCAGATTACAACATGCCGAAACTAGACAACAAATTGCTAGACATGCTACTCCAGTTAACTAAACACCGGACCGCAACTCTATAACACTGGAGTTCTTTTCAACCATACCAAAAACACCAGAACGCATATGGTAAAAGGCGGAATGATCGACCAAAACGTCAAATTGCTGCCATCAAATACTGTAGTGGTGTGAACCCAGGGAAATTCTCACCGGACTGTTGCATGAATGTGCCGGGGTGCCTTCAAACCAGGAAGCCAATCGTCAGATCGCTTGGAAATTATGCCGGAGTGCCCTCGCTTTGCCGGATTGCCGTGTGACTATGCCAGAGTGCAATGGCTCAAGAAAACACTTCGCCAGATTATCGCGGTTATATTGCCGTAGTGCTGATGTGGCCAATAATCACATTACCAGACTGCCGCATGAATGTGCCGGGGTAACATGAAAATAGGAACAAAGCTATCGGACTGATATGCTGACCATGCCAGAGTGATTGCAAATGCCGGTACCAAATCGCCTGACTGCCTTGCTCCCATCGCCAGAGTGGCTAAAAATCCAAGAAACAAAGCGTCAGATTT